ATTAAATCTTCTTTGAAAAGTCACTACTAAATCACATGCTGAGAAATTAAAATTTTACCGCAATGTATCTCTTTATGACGTCAATCTGAAACTAATTTCATGATTCCACTGAACAACCAATATTTCAAGTTATCTCACTATTCTAATCCTCTACTAACCAATAACTTCAATCGCGTATTAATTTATCAAGGACAAAAATCTTACATTCTCCATTAACTTCATCTTATGTACTTCTACTACGAGACTAAATTTCAAGTTAACATCCATAAATTTATTTCTTGAACCTACAAATCCAACACTTCATAGAGATAAGTCAAGGTATTGGAGTTCTTCAATTTGTGTCAAAAGTACACATGTCATGTATTATTCCTGCTTAGAGATTACTTTGATCATCCAATTCACGACTCTCCATTCCTTTCATAACATTCATTTAGCCGCTTAAATACTTGTGGTAAAATAAAGTATATGAGGCTCTTAGTTCCAATTATTACTTCATTCTTGTGAACGTGTACATATCAATCACCACTTAACTTCCAAGTCAAAGAGAGAGTCAATACTATGCATCATAATCCCTCTGTTTTGTATTCCCATTATTGATAACCTTATGCATACTAATTAAACTACTAAAATAAGATCATCCAACTCCAAAAATTCACTGACTTCAATACATGCCAATCCAATAAGTTCTCTAATAGTCTTATTTTCACCACATATAGTTCATATACCTAACTAATATTAAGAACCTCATCAGTTTGTTCCCATTATTTCCTCTGGTTCAGTAGTAAGTCTTAACTCCATTTTTCCTTCAACTCATTTCTTTTTCTTCCATTTGAATTCTAAACACAAGACAACTTTAACACAATTCTCATTCTAGTAACTGCATCCCAGTCAAGTAGTAGTCCACGTCCAAATTTAAATAGGTCAATCTCCTATTCAATCCTATGAAATTCCAAGTCACTAAATTATGACACTCCCACATTCCCTTTCTCTATTGTCTTTCACTCTTTCTTTATACCTCTATCACCAAGAGTGTATACTTGTAGTTTTCATTCTCTTTTAGAATCCTCAGCTACTCAATTCTTTTTCTTCTTAAAATTAACATAAGCTTTTCTTCTTCTGAAAATTACTCTCTTTCCGTACGGACGATATTATAATACAGTTACATCTCTTTTCGATCTTAATTTGATTCCCAAAACTCACCATATCTTCATCAAACTAGCTGACAGACAACCAAAGTTCATCCCTCCTCTTACAACATCTTTCATGATCTCTACTATTTATTCAAGCCTAATTAAATTATACAAAGTCTCATCAACATATTTATACATTTTTTTTGAATTCTTCAACACTGAAACATGTAAAATAATTGTTGCATCAATATAGGTAATCTCAAATTCTTCTGACCAGTATATAAGTACCCAAATCCTCATATTGAAGCACCAATTCTCCTTCATAGTTATGATTCTGTCTATAACAATAATTTTACAAGTGATTCTCTAAAATTGTGAACCAACACTGAGTTCAAGCCTAACTCCTAGAGCTCATATTAACTATATAATAATTCATAATTCAATTGCAAAATTTCAAATTCAAAGTGATCATAAAATTCTTTGTAACATCTTAGGAATTAATCTGGCAATTTGTTCAGTGATACTCACTGCATATATAATCATATGTATGCTAATTCTCCAATGAAAACACTTTAGTTTCTTACAACTCCTGCCAAATCATAACTAATAACTCCACATCTATCCAACTTAGTAATCCATAGACCTATTCAAACTTGAATTTCCTTCGTAATTACTTGCCCTTACATCACACGAGTAACAAAATCCAAGTGTTCGTAACATCTTCATCTTTAAATTATCAATCCAGCATCACATGTAACTAACTTATATTAAGATCCTTTGCATAAAAATTCTTCTTACTTGTCCATTACTCAAGATCAAGACAACACTAGGAAATACAAAACTCTATATCACATCAAATTCTCGTCTCATTCAATTCTTAACTCTAAGCTCGCTTCTAATCCCTTAGCTAATTGACAAATTTTCTCTAGAAATTCCTTTTGTAGAATTTACTTGAATACTTCGTGTTTCCTTCATCGTTAAGAGTCAAATGAGTAGAGTATACATTGACTTCTCCAATTTTCATTACAGTAGTCTAACTTTAAAAAAAAAAATGATAGCAATCATCCATCTCCAAATGGCAAAAACATTACAACTACTTACTGAATTTATTTCTTATTCCTTCCTTGGTAATTGATGACCACTATCCTCTTACTCAAATCTACATTTCAAGTTCTCTCATCCTTTACTTACTCATGACTGAACCCAGTTCACTTGAGAAATTCAATAAGACTCAGAGTTATCTGCATGCATTGCTTAACTTTCATCCTTTTTACTGCTGGATCAAACAAACTTAACTTTATTACACAAAATATTTACATATAAATTCAATTGCCAAGGTCATGTGCAAAAACTGACTTCACATTCAAGCCTATTTCATACACTCTACAAGTCACTAGAGGCTAACCAAAACCTTTGCTTCAAAAAATCTATCTCATGGACACTTTTAAATTCAAACCTAGCTATCTGGCTCATGTTAAACTTCTCCCACAATTCTTATCCAAGGGTGTCTAATACCTATGCTCTGATATCATTCTGTCACACCCTGAACTTGGGATTGATAGAAAATTTGAACCCGAATCAGAAACGTGAGTTAAAAACTAAATATATAAAAGGAAATTAAAACGGGGTGGAAAACAAATTTATTTTATAACCATAACTCATGATTCTTAATCAAATCAAGAATTCTTTACATGAATAAACTTTCTATTCTCACATCTAATCTGATCTCATCATGTCTACTCTTTTGAATGTCTAATTCGTATACTTGCATAACAATAAAGGGATGAGCTTCAACAGGTCAGTAGGGACATAATCTTACCACAGTAAATTTACAATATTAAATTAAGTGTCATGGAATCACATAGTCAAATATCAAATCACTTTTTTATAACAATGCATGAATGCAATGCAACCTCTTCGACTACCTCCGTTAATTTATATAATAAAACATGCGGACCTACACGTCCCATACTGTGCATTTTACCACTGTAGTGGTGGTTCAAATATTCTATTATACAAACTAACCCTCATAAGATATTCCAAGTTCATAAACCCATTTTGTTAGTCATCTTATCTAATTCATTGATTTTCAACCCAAATCACCCACATTGACAATTTATCCTGCCAATATCTTATTCTAATGTGCACACCGGGCTCGCCTGGGACCTGGTTCACAATGAATAGATTCAACTACACAAAAGATCATTTCCAATTACCCTTATTTCCAGACCAATCTCAACACTGAAATTCCAACCACATCAATATGAATGATGCACAAATAATGTCATTTCATCTTTTATATGTATCACAATATATTCTCAACAAATAACATTCTAACAATAATTCCATAACCAATAACAAGTAAACACTTAACCGAAGCAATTAGCCAATTAATATCCAACACATTAATCAACGAAAAAGATCAAGAATATTATAACACACTTCACGAAATTTAATACAATCAATTTCTGTAAAGGTCTGCCATATAAAAGCATCGTTCAGATCCACACAAAAAATCTTGATTTGAATTCGGGATGTTCTTGGCTAAAACTCGATGGATTTAAGAATTAATTAGTTTTCAATCTTAAACTAAACCAATAACAATTATTCCTAAACCACAGTACTTCATTGATGTCTCCTTAGGATTTTGGATGGTATGGAATGCCATTGGAGCAAAAGACAAGAACCAGAGACGGCAACGGAAGCTAACATTTGATGGAGAAATTTTTTTTTTGTCCCCCACCGCTGCTAAATCATACAAATTTGTTTAGACAAATATACTTTTATATCTAAATTCTAGTTAGTCATGGTCAAATTTTAGTTTTTCACTGATTGTGCTAATTAAATTCTTATGTGAATTTAGAAGCTGCTCACATTGGATAATAATATTGTATGAAATTAATGTTCTTTTGAGCTTTCCCAGAAACCCACAAATATCAGAAAAATTCAAACATTCAACACAGCTAAAAAAAAGAAAGAAAAAAAAGATTACCATGTCTTTCTACTGAAATTCATCATATAATTGGGTTTCTCTACACCAATTCATGATCAACCTCTCTGCGTCTCTCACCCTCCCACAAGCCCAAGGACTGCCAGACCAAAACCTACCCCGCCACAATCAAGGCGACAAACACCGTCGGCACGAAGAAATCCAAGCTCGACCGCTGAATCATGTGAGCCGGGAAGCACATTGACTCTCTCGGACAATCCAAGGGTATCCTAACAAACCCCTCTCTGGTGCAAGACTTGGCTAGAGGAGAGAAGGGTGATATCGCCGTGAATTTGGAAAAATTTCTCAAGGGGGTGGAAACACGTTGTATGTTGAACTATTTGTCCAAGTTTTTGGTGTTAAGATGAAATTGTCCTCAACTGATGGTTCAGTTGCATGTTCTTGTCCGTAGCAATTAAACTTCAAAACAGGAAAGCCACGTGTTTTATTTTTATTGGCTCAATACATATACAACGTGGAGTGCAGGGAATCTAGAAAAATTTCTCCACTCGGGGACGACTGTAAAGTCCTCTGGCCGCCTGCGTTTATTGCTGAGTAACACGGATGGATGACCGATAAAAGCCATGGATTTGGCGGTGACGCTGAAGTAGACCGAGTTGACTTTAAGCTTAGTGGCAACTCAGGGAACCCAGTAGCAAATGAAGTCGTGGACGATCCAGTTGACACCCGAGTGTTCGATGAAATGGATCACTGAAGGCTTGAGCAAGTCGTATGCTTTTTTAAGGTAATGGACTTTGTTGATTGGTAGCTCGGAGGTGGACTCGACGGATTCTGGTAAGCCGTCGACGGCATGGAGAGGAAGCTCGACAAAATCGATGAGCGGGGAAAAGGAGGAGCATCGGAGACGATTGATGTTTTTGGGGGGTGGAGATGAAGGAGATTTGGTGACCCTTTTGAGCTAAGAACTTGGAGACCTCGAGATATGACATTAGGCCATCTCTAACCGAGGGCTGGCCAAATGGCTCGTTTTAGTCTTCTGGCCCTCCAAGATATTAATATTTTAATGAACATTACAGGGCCATATTTGCCTCCATCTCCAACCGAGGGCCAAAGGGCCATAAGGCTTGTTTTAGCCCTATCACAAAAAATCGTCTCCAACTGAGGGTCAAACATAATTTATTATTTAAATTTTAAAACTATAACAACTTAAATTTAAAAACTACAACTTATATTTAAAAACTACAACTTAAATTTAAAAACGACATATTAAATTTAAAAACTACAAATTAAATTTAAAACTACAATATTGAAGGAAATATTGCAGATGAAGTGAAGAATTGAAAGAGCTTCACCATATTTATAGAAGAAAAAAAAGGTTTAAGTTCAAAAAAAAAATTGAATACAACGGCTAGTTGCAGTCAACTAGCCGTTGTATTCAAATTTTTTCATACTATTCGTGTCAGTTATAACCGACATTATTGCAATTCAAATTACTATTCGATATTCCTGTCTAACCCTTATATTTAAATCACTATTAGTGTCGGTTATAACTGACACTATTGAAATAATCTAAATTATTCATGTCGGTTATAACCGACAGGAAATCCGACACATTTAAAAAAATTTATGGCCAGCCTGGGGTTGGCTGGCTGGCTGAAAGTGGCCAGCCCTCTAGCCCTTTAGCCCTTTCAGATTTCGTGGGGCCCACAAGCCCTCTGGCCTAGCCTTTGGTTGAAGACGGTTTTCGAGCTATTTTTGGTCCTCTAGACTATTCGGTTGGAGATGACCTTAGGTGGCTGTAGGCTAGCCATAGGAACATGGCTATGTGAAGTTTCTTCTGATCTTTGTTCTCCATGTGTTTGACAATTGGGTGTGAGAGAAGAGACTCTTAGGCAGAACTTGGCTACTGAAAATATTAGCAGCAGCTTCAGCTGCTAGCAAATCACAGATGAACACGTGTCCAAATTATGATTAAAAAATCAATTATTTGAACACGTATCCATCTGTGATTGGTCAACACCACGTGTCCAAATTATGATTAAAAAAATTAATTATTTGAACACATATCCATCTGTGATTGGTCAACAGCAGCTGCTGTTGATTTTTCAGCAACCAAGTTCATTTAACATTTGCAAATTGCGAATTGATTGCGGATTGAACACGTGTTGAGATATGACATTAAATGAACACGTGTCCAAATTATGATTAAAAATTCAACTATTGGCATGACGATTACGAATTGATTGTGGATTGCAAATTGATAAGTTACTGGTAAATCAGCGATCACGATTCATTTAACATTGCAAGTTGCAGGCGATATTTATTCTTTGGGTCCGTCACGGTTTACTTGACATTGCAAGTTGCTTGTAATAATTATTCTTTGGGTCCCTTTGTGTTGGTCCCTAGAGAATTGCTATTATGATATTAATAATGCGAATTTCGGTACATCTATAAAGAAAAAAAAAATTGTAATTAACAATTTAGCGAGTTATAGTCTTAATTTAAATTTAGGTAATTTTTCTTTTGATAATCTTTCTTCTTGAGAAACACTTTAAAAGTAACGTTTAGAGTTCTTTTGGATGTGCTTTTAAAATGACTGAAAGCGTTTTTGGTGAAATAGATTTTGAGTTTTAAAAGCACTTTAAGTGCCTTTTGGAAGAAGCACCAGATATGTGCTTCTTGCAGGAAGCACTTAAAGTGTTTTTTTTAGGATTCACTTGAATTTTTAATAAGGATTGCTTTCAAAAATATTTTCACCAAAAACACTTTCAGTCATTTTAAAAGTACATCCAAATGAACCCTTATTTAGTTATCATTGCAAGCAAACTTTTACAATTTTAACACAGGCCAACCTATTAGGGCGGCCACCCAACTAATCACGCGGCAGCTTGCTTAGGTAGCTTTAGCGTTATATATATGCATGCGTGGCTATTTAAAGTACGTACGTAATTTTGATTACCGAGAGGCAGCCACTGCTGGTCAGCACCCACTATCGGCGGATATAGAATGACTTGTGATCCTTTTTTTGTTGGCTACTCTGTAATTCCAACTTTTTTATGGTATCAGAGGAGAACACACGTGCTTCACGTTATTTGTGTTGTTTAATTGGGCAATTTCCATATTATCACTATATTGTCATTTAGTTTTATGGTGTAACTTCAATTTTTTTCACTCATTGACATCCATGTAGAGAGTAGAATTGAGGTGCATGATTGTGCCGTCGGGCATGAACCATTAGCACTGATTGGCCCATCTGTCACATTTGTGGAGGACAAAGAGATCCGAGGCGGAATGGCCATCCGACGTGACACGTCGTTTGAGGATAAGAGATGCTGCCGCTTTTCCATATATGTCACATATATTCAGTTATGCATGTGGAAAATTGAAATGGTTGAAAGTATTTTTGTTAGGGATGTTTGAAAGCATTTTTTTCACAGTTAACATTTTAATTGCGTTTGTCAAAAAAGTTAAAAAGACTTATGAATTATGTAAGGATGGTGTTATCTACAAATCTTTTCAATTTCCCGCCATTGAAACGAATGAATTGAAGAAATCTATGGAGAAAAATTCATAAGAGTGTGTAGAAAGTAAAAAGAGATGTGTGAACAACACTACCCTTAAATAAATGCTTTATAAAGAAACACATGCCAAAAGTTTCAATACTACAAAGTTCTTTTTATAAGAAGCACTTATATTAGTAATAAAATTTCAATATGTTAATAACAAAAACGGGATTGTCTTCGGAAGTCTAGCCCACCAAGTAGTATAACTTTTTAAATAATTTCCACTAATCAATTTTTTAGAATCAATCTCTACGTTCATTTTCAAAACTGTTTCATAAACACATATGTAATGCTTTTCAAAAAAGACCTAATCGGATAAATGGTATTTGTGGTGACAAGATAATCGGAAGATAGCCCTGGTGAGAAAAAAAATAGAATTTAAACCCTTGTGGTGTAGTCTGTTAGTAAATTTAGTCCAAAAGTAATTTTTCCGTTAAATTACAATTTTTATCTTGTATTTAACAAACATTTAACAAAAAAAATTTTGGACTAAATTTGTTAACAATACCACCACAAAAGCTTAAATCCTACTTTCTTTTTTTTTCTTTTTTTTTTTACCATGAAACATATCTTCCAATTACTTTAGCACTAGGGGTGGGCATAAAAACCGTCAAACCGCAAAACCGCATCAAACCATATGAAAAAAAACCGAAAAGAACCGTGTTGACTGGAAAAGTCAACTTTGAGTCAAAAACCGAACCGAACCGTTTAAACCGGTTTCGAATGAACAAGAACCGGCCGAAACCGAACTGAACCTTTTTATTAATAATAAATAAATAAATTATATATATATATACACATGTCATGATATAATAGGTTGACAAATGAGTTTCACCAAGTTGCAAAGCATGGAATCCCATCCCAATTAGGTTTCACTCATTCACAATCAGACAGTCTCACTCACCTCACCCTCCTCACTCACGCAGCCTCACCCCTCTCACATCCCCATTCCCCCATTTCGCACATCCGAGATCCGACCCTCACCACTACCTCTCATCCAAAAATATCAACGATTCTTCAGGCAGCCCACAACCTCAGCTTCTGCAACGGCACTCTTCATCCTCCTTCCTCCCTCCTTGGTATTTTCTCTATCTTTCTTATATTTGAAATTGAGATTAGGAATATGGATGGTTGAGTTCCACTGGATTTCCATTCTGTTTTACCTGCACTATATATGTGTGATTAACACTGTCTATTGTCTAATTGAGTCATGTGACTCTTGTCCTGCATTTAGGGACATTTGTATATAGATGGTCTGTAGGATTCAATAAGGGTGTTTTAAGTTCGTAGATTCTACAGAAATGTCATCGGCTTTAATCTGCCCCTTTATGTAAGGCCACTTTGAGCTGGAGTAATGTCAAAATGGTTTTCTTTGCTTGGTCTTTGGTGTGGGGTAGACTGTAGAGTCTTCACCTTTGAAATTTCAGGAAGTGGAGGTCTTCTTAGGTAAAGATTTTGTATATGAAAAAAACTTCTAAGAATTAGTTGTAGAGTCTTCACCTTCGAAATTTCAGAATTGCCTGGAATCTCTTCTTCTATGTGGTTCAGTTGGTTCAATTGGTTATGTGGTTCAGTTTCTACGAAAGCTTCAGTTGTAGTAGAATTCAAAATTTTAGGAATAAAAACAATTTACTTTTCTTTAATTCTGTAACATCAAAAGAAATAGACAAGATAAATATATAACAATCATCCACTAGAGTCTCAGACTCACTTATCTATTTGAGGTTCACCTCCTTGAAAGGCATAAGCAAAATGCCCCTCTGTTGCCTGTAACGAAAATGTGAAATGTAAGTCATATTGATGAAAGCATGAGGGTGATGAATAAAACCTATCTCAAACTAAAGTTTTAAGAAATAAGATGGAGCACCAGTAAAAGCTCAAGGAAAAACAACACTCTAATTGACAACACTATGCCTGGGAAAAAATAAAGTGTTTAACTGTGCTGAAATTAGTACTTCATGGCATGTTTACCCCTTCTAACATGATTTGAAGGTTAATTAACAATTTTTTTTTTTGGTTGCTCTGCAGTGGCACAACTGATGACAAAAATCAAGAATCGATCTTCACTGTGAGGAGAAAATAAGATCTCATTAGTTCATCAATACCAAATCTATGGCATGAATTGACCTCAAAGCTTCACTATGAAACATTATGTGTTAAACCTGCAAGAGATGGATGCTCAACAGGGGTTGGAAGGTTATGGTAGGTTTATCCTTGTTTACTTTTTCCTTTTTTATTTATTATGTTTCATTGTTTTGTTCAATGGTAGTGAATAGACTAGTAAGCTCTTTATGCACTTAATTCCATAATTGTGTTGTCCTGCAATGAATTTATGATGTCCTCCTTCGGTCAATTTGTTTTTGTATGCAGCTGCGCTGAAGACCTTTTAGTGTATGTAAAAGCATTGGAAG